GTCGACTCGTTCGACTTTATGAGGACGCCAAATCTTAACATGCCCCTGAATTTTGTTTCTTTCTTAATAGGCCAAAGGAGTCAAGCTCCAGCAATAATTTATAGACGAATCCGGATTACTGCGCATGGTCTAGGCTGCCAAAGGCTTCATTCTAGCTTGAAATCTCAAAAATTCTCAAATTTCACTAGTTTTTGAAAATCGCCTCAAACTTCTCTATTTCGTGTTCAAAATTTTGACAATTTGTGCTCACTTGTAGCTCACATTGCCTTCCACATGATGCCAAAGTTTGAGTGCGCCATATTCAAAGAGAGTGAAGTTATGAAACCAGTTGCAAAACTTAGTTTCCAGCCTAATATTTGGGAAAGTTGGAGTGGCAGTCTGGATATCTCAGCACTTCCAAATTTTATGCATCTGTTTTGTTATAGATATAATATTGTTATCTAATACTCGTACGTTTAGATCCAGAAAGCTGGTTTCGGCATCACTTGTATTAGTTTTTTCTATGATAAGTTCATTGTGATAAATTTCTTGCAAATCTGAAATGTGTAGCACATCGTCAATGTATCGGTGTATCGGTGTAATGTATAGGTGCTATTGAATCCATATAAATTTTCCGAGTTACTATTAGCTACCATTCTTTCAACCTATTCGTATACCATAAATGCTAATGTTGAGTCAGACATCTGCAGACTACATGGCGCTTCTTGTGGAATGCCTCTTTTCTGCTTGTAAATCACGCGAGCAAAGCTTAAGTATGAGGCATTCGAAAAATCGTGACGATGGCGCGACGCGCGACACGCACGCACTCCCATTTCTTGATTTCTGTCTCTACTAGGGTGGTTTTTCTGCTTACATGGGTTAGTACTTAGACACTGGAAGTCACTGCGCTGAACATTAAGTTGATGCCTGTTTGCATGAGTGTTTTATGCTCCTGTGTGCGCAAAGACCGCAGTCAGCTCATCCTCCCGATTTTAAGAATGAACCACAACTATTATTGAGAAAGGCGTCTATCGTATAAAGTATGTCCTCTATCTAACAGTAATTCTCTTTACTTGTGTTTACACTAAAATACGTTATAAGCCTATTATTGATTTTGATAACTTTGTATCTTCTCCAATTGTATTATGAGTTTGTACAATTTCTTCTTACTACTGAGTGTAGTAAACAAATGTTGTATATGTGCTGCACACTGCGCCGAGTGTGTGTGAACGCGCACATGTATATTCAACACTGTTCTAAATTCAAACCAATTTATTCTCATAACCAAGAAAACTATAACCGTTCTTTAAATACATTCCATTCTTCTACCATGTCAACTTCTCCCAATCAAAAGCATGCAGTCTCACAACAGTGTAGTCAGTAAAATGAAGAGATGATAAGTGATAAACCACACATGATGCTTCACTCTCACTAACACTACAGCAATACTGCAACTTGCCTGACTACTTAGCGCTCCAGTAGCTATGACGTGACTATGACGGTTAACTCTCCCAAAACTATATACAAGGTAGCTATACCGTTATCATTACGAAAAACCCCAAGTCCAGAGACCTCAGCCGCTTCACGGTCATAGGCATGAAGAGCGACGTAAGTCAATGCAGGCAAATATGCGCCTCGAATACGTTTCGTTGATTTCGCACTTGGGCGCGATATCATCAGAAGCTGTATGAATTGCTCAAAAAGGGAGAGGAATGCTTAAAAGTCTCTTTGCAGTTTGGGCTGTTCTGCGCAAGAAGTGCAGAATAAGCAGTTCCAAAAATTTTGAGAGCTTGCGGCAATATATGCTTGATGGAGATACGCCTGGGATCGGGAACAGCGTCCTAAAATTTCATTCGAAAAAAGTGTGTTACATACGTTTTCAGAATTTATATTCTACGTAGTATATTATATAACGTATACTGTATACAAAGGGTCCAAATCTCAGTGTGATATGATTGTCTCTGCGCTAAGTAAATCATCCGTTTATTTCAACCTAAAAAATTCAAACTTTGCTCGTCCGTGAGAAGAAGCATTACCGCATGTCAGTCGCATACTCCATGTAAAAGTCTTGGAGCTTTGCTATGATTGTGCAGCAATTTTTACGACCCCCTCTTTAACCTCAAAAACGAAGTCTAGCGCGCTTGCATTTCTTTTATACCTGGGTTCGAGATCGCCCTCTAATGTGAAATCGTTCAAAATTAGTGCCCATGTAGGAAGTCGCTTCCAGAGGTACCTTGCCAAACTTGCGTCAAGCCGTAAGACCATAAACGGAATTTTACGTTTATAATTACAATAGGCATAAGAAAAGCTAAATTTTTGATTCTTCAATACCTCTCCAAAGTGTGCAATCCGTACTTTGAAAATGAAGTTTTTCGCTGTGGTTTATCATGAGACGTCGACCATAATCTACTTTCTTGTCCCGCTTTTCAAGAGATCTTGCTCAATATTTCGTGTTCTATCAATGTTTCCAGAAACTCCTGCCTACAACCATGGGCTGTGCGACTGCAGAGGCAGATATCGGCTACTTATCGATAGTGAGCATACAAATGGTTGCAAGCTCACTTTCTGGAATTCTATCTGTTTTTGTTATTGTGAAATGCAGTCATATGTGTTTGCATGCCAACTGCAAGGCAAGTCGTAGTTGCATGATTATTGTGATGTCCACGTTCAAAGTTAAATCGCATTAGTTAAATCCGTTAATCTTACTTTTACAAGCTACATGTATTTCTAGGCACAAGTATTTTTCGTAAATATAACGGGTTCTAACACAAGTGCTCTTTACCTATGTGTTAGCATTCATGAATAATATTAGGGTGTCTCAAAGGTAAATTGTAACGGGGATGGTCTACTGATAAGTCTTGATATGACCTGATCGATGAGAAACGGTCTAAATATTAGGTTGGCTCGAAAGTTCTTGCGTAATTCAAACAAAATTCAAAAACTTTTTAACGACTAAACCCAAATTCACAATCTTGTTCTCTAAAAACATTAGAAGGCCTGCGCTCCATGATGGATGTTTAAGCGCAGGATTTCATGAGCAAGCCTCCGAGAACGAAGCTCTCAAACATGGGACTTCAAAATTTGCAATTTTGAGTTTGGTCCCAGAAAATCGCAGAGTGCCGCTAGCTAGCCGAAAAAAAATCTGTAAAAATTACTTACACTGCAGGAGTCCATCAGTTACTTTGGAAAGCTCTGATCTTGCACGGTGAAGCAAAAACGAAAAATTCGTGAAATACTCATTTTGCGGAAAAAATCCACTCATTACCGCAGTTTTTCGGCAAAAAAATTTTTTTACACTCCAAAAAACGTCGCAAGGTTCTAAATAGGCAATATGTCTTACTTCTGGTTGCAAACTGTGTTTTTGTGGAAAAATTACATCGATAAGGGGATCTGTCCTGTGAAATGAGAATTTTTACAATTTTTTTGTTTTCGCGTTTCCATGCGAGATGAAAGCCTGCTAAAATAACATATGGGCTTTTGTTGCGTAAGTGAATTCTATAGATTTTTTTCGGCTAGCTAGCGGCACTCTGCGATTTTCTGGCACCAAACTCAAAATTGCAATTTTTGAAGTTCTATATTTGAGAGCTTCGTTCTCGGGGCTAGCTCATGAAATCTTGCGATTAAACATCCATCATGGAGCGCAGGCCTTCTAATGTTTTTAGAGTATAAGATTGTGAATTTAGATTCAGATTGTGAATTGTTGCTGTTGGAATTCTGCCATTGGGATAGATTTCTTGTACTAGGTTGTAACAGAATTAATGCAGGTTTTGAATTCCAACCGCAATAAGTCATACACTTCTCATTTCTAAGTAGGTTGCAAAATACCATGCGACAGAGCAAAGCAATCTCTATAAGGTGCAGTCTTGCTTTAGCAGCAACTCTGATCCACAACGAGTTTCGAGCCAAAAACTAAAAAGATTCAACTGTCCGAAAATTTGAGAAAAATCGTAACTCAGTTCATAAAAAACCTACAAAAATTCTAACTTGCTCACGTAAACACTATTCACATAAGACATCTATACACGCCTTTGCCGTATTTTTTTTCTCTGCTAGAAATCAAGAAAACGAAAATTTTCGTGCACTTGCTAAAGTGATGCTGTGCCGTCCCCACATGAGTAATCGTATACTACAAACCTTTAGAAGTACAAATTTAAATTTCCAGCTCTCTACAAGCTTTAGTTCGCGAGAAATTTGAATTTTAGCTTGGACCACATGACTAGGGAAAACTGTATTCGATATTTCTCGAAAACTAAAGCTTGTAGAGAGCTGGAAATTTACGTGTGTACTTCTAAAGGTTTGTGGTATACAACTACCTATGTGGGAACGGCACAGCACCACTTCAGCAAATGCACGAAAATTTCAGTTTTCTTGATTTCTAACAGAGAAAAAAATACGGCAAAGGCGTGTATAGATGTCTTATGTGAATAGTGTTTACGTGAGCAAGTTAGAATTTTTTTAGGGTTTTTATCAACTGAGTTACGATTTTTCTCAATTTTTCGGACAGTTGAACCTTTTTAGTTTTTGGCTTGAAACTCTTTGTGGATCAGAGTTACTGCTAAAGCAAGACTGCCACCTTATAGAGATTGCTTTGCTCTATCGAATCGTATTTTGCAACCTACTTAGAAATGAGAAGTGTATGACTTATTGCGGTTGGAATTCAAAACCTGCATTAATTCTGTTAGAACCTAATACAAGAAATTTATCCCAATGGCAGAATTCCAACAGCAACAATAACTCTTAACTGTTTAACAACAATTCAGCTATTACAAAAACCGGGCTTAATCTGATATAAAGCAGTGTTTTCTACTTACTTCTCTTCAGTAGGATGTTCGCTTTTTTCACGACTTGTTTAAACTTCCAGGAGTGTTCCCTTCGCGGTGGTCCATAGTGGCTAACCTTGCTGAGAGGCCAAGTCACCCCTCTCTTTTTCCGACTCTGATTATTGGTAGATCAGTGATCCGCGCCATCCAACATAGCCCTTTCTTGAAAAACTAAGTTGTTCTGTTTTCCTAATAGACCTAGGATACCATATGATGGAGCGAAGCAAGCTTTGAAAAAATGACCGCCAAAGATCCACTAACTCGTAATCCAGGTGAGATGTAGAGCCAAAAATCGAGGTCTTTCAACTACCTCAAAATCGGATCTCCTTCCAAATTTCCTATTTTTCTTTGGCTGAAATCAATAGAAGTAGCCCCAGCAAAATAATTTGTTGCATTTTTAGGATTCTTTTTACGTTAAACTTGGTACTTCTGGATTACCAGGGCATAAGCTTAAACCATTTTTTTTTGCGTTTTCTATGCACAAGAAAAATCTACTTAAAGTATTTTTGAATACAATCGAATAGAGATTTCCCGCTCAATATAGTGTGCTTGCAATGCTGGTAAAATGCGGTAAATTTCGCAAATAGCCAAGCCAGCAATGCTGGGATTATCCACATTGCGTCATCTTGTTTCTCTATCTTCCAATCTAACCGCTTTGCCACTTCCTTATTTCCACCAGCTACTGTATCGACACTGCTTCCAGCGTCAAACTGAGTGTGAAGTTGCTCTCAAATTACTTAAATATGCAGTGCTACTAATGTCGTCTTTTCTTATTAATTACGCTAACGTAGACACACACACACACACACACACACACACACACACACACACACACACACACACACACACACACACACACACACACACACACACACACACACACACACACACACACACACACACACACACACACACACACACACACACACACACACACACACACACACACACACAATCTTGCAAACAAGGACCCCATGAACAACTCAGAAGTGAATCTTCATCCTTCCTTGTGTGCCACGTTACTTTATATAAACCTTAGTCAAAACACTTGGTCCTTAGTCATTCAAAAAACACTTCAGTTTTCCACATTTTTAGCCTGTGATAATTAACCTAGCTAATTTCAGGTTCTCATATTGACGATGTTGTCACTGTATCTTCTACACTCTATCGCCTTCACTGGCGGACAGGTTAGTGCATAGCGGTATTTTTGTTGCAGCAGGGAAACTTACATTGACTTTTAAACTGAATCCAATACCAAAAGCATATGGATGCAAGCCTTTCTTAGTAAGACTCAGAGAAGATGCTGTAGGATCCAAATGCGAGGAGAACACTAGGAAAATTCTTGTTTTCAGTTTGCGGTCAGCAACCTAAGTTTCCGCTTTTACGTCTATTCGAAAAATAATCTCATGTGATATCAGGTTGTCCCATAAGTTCCATCCAGTATTGATTTTCTACCATGATAAGTCATAGATTTCCTATTTATAAATAGGTTCGAAGTACCAATCGTTCCTGCTTTTGCACCGCATTCGGTCCACCTCGAGTTTGAAGCCAGAAACCAAAAGGTTCAGCTACCCGAAAAATCGAGAAAAAATGGTAACTCCGTCTAAAAAAGTCCTAGAAAATTCCTAACTGGCTCAAGCATACACTTTCCACACCAGACATAATAAACTGTTCCTGTATTTATTCCTCGGCCTGAATTTAGAGAAACGAAAATTTTCATGCGCTTGCCAAAGTGATGATGTAGTGTTACCCTATATGTATGATAGCTGCATACTACAAACCCGCAGAAGTAAAAACGAGAATTTTTAGCTTTCCATAACCTTTAGCTCTCGTACTCTCGTAACATGTATTTTAACGTGAGAGACCCAACTATGGGTAACTTTATTCGATATTTGTTTGGCACAGCGGGTTGGAATCTTATTGTTAGTCCAATCTGGTTATAGCGATGCCACATACTGCTATGCCACTCGTTCCCATTCTAATTAGAAGTACGAAATTCTAACAGGCCCCATCGGAAAATCGTGGTATCACAATTCTTTTTCAAATAGAGTAGGTAATCTGATCTTTTTAAGAGTTTTTCTTGATATACCAAAACTAAAAAAAAATTTGCTAGCACTTTCTAAAAGCCGGGGTGTTTAGGGGGTTTTTCATGCAAGCAGCATTGGAAATTCATCCAGCGAGTAAAGGCATTGGAGATCTAAAACTGCTTGCTTTTTCTGTTCCTCAATTTGAAAAGCAGAAGTAGGATACGTTCACCTATGGCAGAACGGAAGGTAATGCAGCTCTATTTTTATCGCATTTTCGGGTCTTTTAAATCGAACAAAAAGAAGCCAACTGCAACTCAAACGTCAAACGTTACATAAGCGACATCCGCCTGTCACCTCATTAACGCATTCAGCCATGAAGGACTTACACAGTTTTGAATATCTTTCAAGGTTCCGTTGCTAAATCATATCATAAAGCGAATGACATACCAGAAAGATGTCTTCTCTGATTGGGGTATAATTATGAGGAGTAGAGCAAAGAGCTCCACCGGATGGTAGTAGTTTTCTTGAGAAATCTACAGTCATTTTCTAATGTCCCACTGTTTAATGTTCATCCTTATACGGTGCCAAAGGAGATGGTAGGGACGGGAGTCCAATTCCACAGGAAATTGGTCGCAGATTTCTACAAGCATTAATACAGGCAACTTGCGAAAAATTGTGATTCTCATTTTCGAAGTAATCTATCTCGACATTCTACAGTACAAGGTACTATGTAGTAAGGTACTGTGCAACGTCAAGATAGAGTGCTGCTAAATTATGGCATGCTTCTCACCCAAAATTCTCCATTCTGTCGCTGATATAGCTTTCGAAAAGGTCAGTGGGAGTGGAAGGATAAGAAGTTACAAAAAAAAGGAGAGGAAGCCATCTTGAGTACTGCATGGTTGGTTTGAGCGGAGGAGCTTGTTTTACAGAGAGCACTTAGAACGTTTCTTTAGGAATATCGGCGTTGTTAGTTGTACTTGACACTTAGCATGATAATCTCTTGTAAGTATATATTCGACTATTACCGAGATTGGTGACAATACTTTATTGGCAACGTCGACGTTTCCTAATTGCTTTTGGGAAATCCTAAAAATTTGCCAAGCATAAGATATGATGTGCTGCTTATCTTATAATCCAACATTACAGATTTGAACACAAGCTTTGTCATCCCTCAGCCTTGCACCTTTCATTTAACGACTTTCAGGCATACGAACTATTTCGACAGCTTGTGCTGCCCAACTTGTGCCTTTCTAAGCTCTCAGCCCACAGTTGTTTTATCATGAGTTTTGTAGTCATGATGTGTTGGTACTCTTTCGCAACATTGCAGGTCAGTGCATCACTGTTGAAGCCTTCCTATTGGTTTGCATTGCAGTTAGCAATGGTTGCTGAGCGATGTGTGGCTTTATGGAAGCGCAGCGAATACGAAACGTTTGGGATGAAGTTAGGCTCAATTTCTGCAGTCACCTCGGTGAGTATATTTTCAGTTATCTGCTACGAAATACCAAATAAAGTAGTAATCATAATAGGTCGCAGCTAGTTCCGCTGCTACTCTCTGGACAATACAGAGCGAATTATCGGTAGAGCTGAAACCGACATGTTTTCCATCCACAAAGTCTACCTTAGAGAGACTATCTGTTGTATGCTTAGTCATTTGTGGCGTGAACGTTGGCACGCTAATAGGACTTACAACATTGTTCGTTGGCAACAAGGTCGCCCTTAGGAGGTAAGTGTTACTTTCTGCTAGAAAAGACTTCAAAATACGTATCTAGGAAGCGCTACGATTTGAAATCTTCATACCAGCTAAGCGAAAATTATTCCATTATCAGACTGCTTTTACCTCTTTCAATTTTTCAAAACATTTGTTACGCATTCTTCACAATATTTGGTGCACTCCTCGGTCTTTTGGCGCACAAAGTCGACTTTTTCACATTTCGTATATTGTTCGCCATCAATTACGTGAGTTTTCAGGATCAATAGTCGCAAAGACAACAACTACCTAATTAGCAGTATTTCAGATAGTACCGTTTTACACCCTAATCTCTCCAATTATAATTCTATCCATTACGATATATTCCAAGCGTCTAAATTCTGCTAAATTGCTGCAGGCTACACGGCAAACCAACAAAAACGATGAACTCTATTTTGCTGCTTACTCCAAAATGTGGAAATAGTTTCTATTCCTTTGGATGCAGCGCTACGTGAGCTGAACACGACTGCAATTTGTATCTGAAGAGCTTGAACTAAGGAACAGCAAATTTCTCTTTCTTGTTATCTTATACGCCATCTATGCGAAAGCCGAGTGTAGCTCTGAAATGCAAAAAGTTTAATAAAGATGAATTTTTGCTGCATATTGAACTTCGTCTACTTCAAGCTTGGTAAACGTTAATCAAAAATGTTGACTCTGTTTCAATTGTCCATCTGCAGTTTGTGAGGGAAACTGCTTCGTGGGCAGTTTTGTGAAGGGTTTCTTTGGCTTTCGCATCATTCTGTTACTCTTTGAAATGAAAATCAAAAAATGGGTGAAAACATGTCGAACAGATATGATAGTCTTATGGAAGCATGAAATGGGAGCATTGAGAATCCTGAAAAAGGTAAAATATTAAAATAGAGTCGATTTTGTATATTACCTGGCGTATAATGCTCATCATGAATCCAGGAGTTCCGAAAAATCTCAGGAGCGGGCAAATGTACGTGTAAGTCAATCTGCGATTTTTTTCGAGATTCGTGGAAAGTCTGACCTTTAGTGTGCAGTTTTGGGAATTCCTCGCCTTTTCGACATTACTCGTACAGAGAGGTAGGGGCAGTTATACCATTAACTTTTGGAGTTTAGTAAATGGCTGTTTAGAATTACTGCTTGAGGTGCTTATTGTAGGGAATTGATTTCTGGAAAAAAAAACTTGAGCTTAGAAGGTCCCAAACCTGTCTTTTCTTCCTCCTTTTTTTCCTGCTCAGAGCTCGGCACGAGGTGGCTAGATAAAAATGCAAAAAACGAAGTCCCCCTTGACTTTTGAGAATTTTTACGAAGTCCCCTTTGACCCTCAACCAAATTTCTTCTAAAAACCTGAAAATTTCCCCAAAATCCCCCAAAAAACGAAACGTCGAATAAAAAAAACGTCGCCAAGTCCCCAATTTTGCGTCTCCCTTCGGTCACAAAAACGAAACCCCCTTTGCTTTTCTTCCCAAAAACGATACCCAGCTTGCTTGTAAGCCACCTGTGCCGAGCACTGTTCCTGCTCTTCCCGTCCTCTTCAAGCAAGATCAATAACAGCTAACCGATTCGCACATCTCTCTTTCGAGAGCTGAAGACGCCAAAACCCTTTCAGAGGTTGTCTTGCATATAATCTTGCATCCCATATATTTATTGTAGCCAGCCTTCTTAAACACAATTGCCCATAATTCCCCCAACAAATTTAGATTTGAATACTCTACCAGCTCAGGTGATCAAAGTTAAAACCCCAGTTGAGTTAGTAAAGTTAATTCACGAGCGGCCACTCCTTCAAGCTTTGAATGCAACGTCACTGACAGATGAACGTGTGGTTGGGTGCGGCGCTGATCCCTGACTTCTATAAGAGCAACGTCCGTTCAGTGTACATGGGAAGAAACCCAAAGGAAAATTCGTGAGTTGCTCCTGAGTAAGTTATGGGGCATGTAACGTGACATAATATTACGGACGACAATGCGGATACACAATTTCGAGCCTGCGGATAGAGAGTATCAACAAACACTTGATCGCACTCTTAAAAAAGAACACAATTATTTACTTTTTTTTTGCAGAGGGGCTTTTTTATGCTGCAAGGTGCCAACTGATCTCATACTTTCTGTCTATTCTCCAAAAACTGCAATTTTTATACTATTCATGTTAAGCCATCATTATTATATTACATTTGTCTTATTTCTTGGTTTGATAGAAGAAATTTCTGGACACAATCATTATTGATTTTCTTGACTTCAAAAGACTGTGGCAATGTTTGGCAAAAAGTCTATTACTAGCTTGTTTCGAACGTCATGACGCTTTAATTGCAGCGTCCTTACCCATTCCACCAAATCTGCATAAACACCAAAAAGTTTTTTTTCTTGAAACCGCGCATGTCTAACAATCCAAAATCGGATCAGTCGCTCGTTTTCACAGCACTGAAGAGCCACAACGTCTCCTTAAGCCCACCTTAAAAGAGATGCACTGACGAGGAACTTACTACAAATCTTCTCCCTATTTTTTTCGAATTTTAGGCTGGGATGATTTCCAATAAAATCCCTTGCTCGAAATTCACTGTCGTAGACGTCCCAAATTTGTACGGTTTGTAGGAACTAAATCACACAATTCAACATCATCAATTGATGGGCAAACTTCCTTTTCTCAAGCTTCCTCTCTTACTGTAGGCCGACGTATGTTTCGCTGGTAAAAATCTTCAATTTGCTTTAAATCTTGCAGCCCAGAACTCCTTAATTCACAGAAAGTTTGCAGGTTGGCTCCTTATGTTAGTTTCTAAATTTCTACTTTCTTAATTTCCAACAACAAAGAATCTTTTATGTTGCAAAATCCCAATTTTCTTGCAAACTCTTAGAGTCCCTTTCACCCTTCTAATCCTTCAACGCTGTCTTGAAACGGTCTCTAGATTTAACCCCGTACTATTCTTTTTTTGAAGTTGATCATGATATTAGGTTGGTGCAAAAGTTTTGCGCGTTTTTCTAGCCCCTGCATCAGGACAGCATTTCTCCATCAAACTTTCCCCTTCGAAAAAGACTTAGACAATCAAGAAGCTCCTTTCATGCTTTATTCAACGGTGGTTAAATGGAGCTTCTGGCGCGCCATTCGTTAAAAATTGATAGAGCTTCACACAACCGCACTCGGAACCAGAATTTCATTGCACTTATTTTTTTGGCCAGAATTCAAGAGCATAAAAGCATTTTTTTTTTGAGGATTCAGGCTCTCTATGTAATTAAAAACGTCTACGTTATGCGCACCTCACTACTTTTTGAAATTGCATAGACTGAGATTTCGGCGCCTCAGCATAGGCACTGGTTTTGGTTACTTCGTGGCCCACAAACTTTCATTGAAGAGGGTAATCGCCAAAACTTTGCTTATTTCTGTAAGCGTAAGGGTGGGCCTCCTGCTGACAGTTTTTGCAGAAATATTTAACTGTTTACTGCAGTAGTGCAGTATTACGTTCAGTAGTGCATATCTTGGGATTTTGAGGCCTACAAAAATACGCCGAAAAAACTGGACAAGTTTTTAATTATTATTTTTCCTTTCCACAAATTTTCCTGTTTGAGCACCTTTCAACAATTTCTGTGCTGCTGGCTTGCGTCTAAAAGATAAGCTTTTTATCATTCATACCAACAAATTTTGAAGGGAAATATGATCAGTTAAAAACTAGGTTTTAGAAAAAACTTTTTTTGCTTATCAATCCATATTTTTGTGCCCTCTTGCAATATGAAAATAGTTGGTGCTTTTGACGGTATTTACTGCATTGGAAAATGTGGATTTAAAAAGTTATAACACGTCAAAGTGAGAACTCGCAGAACGCGCATTACTTTTGCAATCTAATATAATAAGTGGGCAACGGGACATTGAAACATAGTAGTATCAAAGTGGGTGATTCTATTGAAAGGTATTGGCAAGTATTTGTTTCCCACATAGTTTTCTTAAGCGTTTCGTAATCTTCTTTCGATCACGCCGCAGTTGCCGATACTTTTCCCTCTTCGCGTCTATTTCCCTCAAGTTTTGTGCTTTTTCTACCTTAGTGAGTGAGCTTATCGAGAATTAATTTGTTTTGTCTGAGATGGCGTCATCACTAGTCATTATGCATTATGACTTTTCCGTTTGGAGCGTATACAGTCTGAAGCTTTTCCGTTCAAAACGTACACAGTCTCAACGGAAACGCTTAGTTTATCATCATCTCCATCGTACACTCGCTACAGTGATGGAAAGTCTCGCTGTGCTTCCAGACTAAAAATGGCTCCTGAATTCTTGAGCTATTTTATCCGTTTGCATGCTTTTATTAGGTTGGTCGAAAGTTTTGTCGGTTTTTCAAAATGACCCGCAAATTCCGCACAATGAAAACAAATATTCAAGCTGTATCCGATGCAGAACTTCTTTCACTTTCCAGCTGCCATATTCTCAATGTAATTCGTTGAAAGAATACTGAGATAATCGCTAAAAATTACAACGCTTCGTTTCACAGTGTCCAAATTCCGCTGATTTTCAAAATTTGTACGTAAGACACCTGGGAAAGCTTCAATAACTAAAGTGTAGGGCAAATCTTTTGCTAAGTGTAGCAGCTTTTCTTCTTTTTTTGTTACATTTTTAGAATTTTGCCAAATAAGACTCCAAAAGTTAAAGTTTTGATAGAATTGCGTAACTAGTACTGCGGCGGAAACGGCTACTTCAGTTTAGCGAGTTTTTGAAACGCGATTATCACTATTATTAACCCTACAAAGTAATTGAGCGGTTTTTGCTTCGAAATATGAAGATTTTGGAATCTAGGGTTTGTCAGCGCGCACCCATGAAATGACGAAACACTGCTGTTTTCCCCGCAAGTTTCACGTGTGTCGCAGAGAAAAGATAACCTTTAAAAAGAGGAGAAAAAACTGCATCGAATGGTACCTGAGCTGTTTACCATTTCATGTTCAGCGAGGTTGGAATAGGCAAAAAATAAACTCTAATTGCTTCAAAAAATGGATTTTATCAACTCTGAAATACAAGCCACAGGGCTACAAAAAATTGCCTCGTAAAAGGTTTGCCATATTTAATGGTTATTAGGGCTCTCCCAAAAGTCTCATACCGAAATTTTGAAAATTAGCTAAAGTTGGATATGGTGAAAACCAAGGGTTTCATCTCCAGCGATTATCTCAGCATTCTTTCAACAGCTCACGTTGGTATATGGCAGTTGGAAAGGGGAAGAAATTCTGCGTCGGATACAATTTGAATTTTTTGCTTATCTTCACTGTGCGGGATTTGTGGACCATTTCAAAAAACCGACAAAACTCCGGACCAACTAATATACCAGCTCATCTTAGCGTTTTCTTTTTGAAGGAATCTTGTAAATAAAATTTTGCAAATCTACTACATTTGAATATTTCCACTAATGAAGCTTTTAGCCCAGTCAAACGTTTTCACACAGTCATGGCTTGTTCAACAATTGAGATGAGCGTGGGCTATTCATCTGTGGTAGGCATACAAGTGCTCGCGGGTTTTCTCTCTGCTATTATTTCTGTGCACGTTGCTACGAAATGCGGCCATCTATCCTTTCACATTAACTGCAGGGTGAGTTAATCTTCTTCTTCTTCTTTATCTTTGCCATTGTCCCGCGGGGGCAGGGTCGGCGGTGATGCGTTTTTGCTTCCATTTGACTCAATTAGCTGCTTCTTATGGTTTAAGCTTTGCAATGTGTAGGTCGTTTCGAGTGGTGTCCAACCAGCGTTGTTTCGGTGGCCACGTGGTTCTTCCCCTGTGGATCTAGACGAAGGGCTGTTTTTGCTATTGTACTAGGCTGTTGCATAAGTTCTGTCCGATTTTTTTGCCTCATGTTTGAAGCAGCTGTTCTAAGAGAATTTCATCTCTAATTCGATACGGTTGGTATCATTGAAAAGTGCTTTCCTTGCGCTTTCTAAAGCATACCAGAATTCAATAAAATTCTTAGTGTACGGAGATCACAGGCCTAAAATCTCTAAGTGGCCGAGGTACGTTCTATCCCTAGAAATATGTCCTTGCAAGGATATCTCCACAATGCGCCCTTCAAGTCAGGTTCTTTCATTGGCTTCGGAATAAGGGTATGGAATGCTAGTATATGCAGAAGTTCGGTCCCATGAAGAATACGTCTTGCTAGTGAAATTTATCCTCGAACATAAATCTTTGGTATAGATGTTTTACAAGCAATAACTTTCTGCGAATAGAAGTAATCGACAAGCTCAAAGTTGGAGGTGCTAGGGCAAAGCAAGAGCTAACAGGGCCCATCCACCAATTCCTTTTCGGCGCTCACGTCAGTTGTAAAACGTTCGTAGTTCATAAATAGGCATGCACACATGTGCTGAAGCGAGGTCAAAAAGTGGCTAATTTTTTGTTCGGTCAAGAAAATCTCTCGGCAGCGCAAACCCTATGGGCTCTTTTATGTTGCATAATAATCTACGAAAATTTCTCTATCCATCCATTATTAGAAAAGATGCCTATCAATTTTCATAAGGGAGCGTTACCATGTCAAAAAAGACAGATTCGAAGAAAAACGCTGCGAAGTTTTTGCATTCTTGGTTCTTCCTTAACAAAGATTTGCGCAGATCTCAATATGCATTTTTTAGCCAAGGGACTGCTCAACACATAGAAACTAAGACCTTGGAAAAAAGTTGACTCTGAAAGAAGTTATGACATTTTAAACTCAAAAATTCAAATCGGACAGAACTTATGCAACAGCCTAGTATTATCTTCACTTCGTAAAACGTGACCATACCTTCGTAATCTGGCACCTCGTTATCCGCGATAGGTGCAACTCCAAAAATGTGTCGTACATCATCGTTCGTGACGCAGTTTCTTCTCGTTAGGCCAGTACCCATCTTATCATTCGCGTCTCCATCGTGCTCAGGATCTGCTCGTGTTTCCTGGTTGCTGGCCAACATTAGGCTCCGTACAGGGCGACTGGTCTTACCACAGTCCGATACACTTCGACTTGAGATACATCGGAATTTGTCGGCCGCAGAGTACTCCTGTTACTTGCCGCCATTTTAGCCACGTCCCGTTCGTCCTAGCACGAGCATCAGTGATCGTGTCGCAATCCGACGTCACTCGGGAGCCCAGGTATTTGAATAGCGTGACCTTCTTCAGCGGCTGCCCATCGATGCTAATTGTGCCATCGGTTTGCTCTCCGCATTCCAGGTACTTGGTCTTTGCCACGTTCAATCGCAGGCTATATTCCGCTAATTGTGTCTTCCATTTCACAGTCGCCTCTTCAAGCTCTTGTCTCGATCCGCTTGCTACCCCGACGTCGTCTGCGTAAAATAGCGTCCACAGATGCGGCAGCTGAATGTCCTTGGTCACCGTGTCCATGCATAGTATAGAGAGAAGCGGTGATAGAGCCAATCCTTGATGTACTTCGACTTGGATTGGGAATGGCGTTGACGTTCCCACTGCACAGCGTACGGCACCCGTCGTGTAGAGGAGTTTGATCCAGCGAACGTACTCTTCTGGGACTTCGTGTTGTCTGAGCCCTTACCAGATCAGCCCGTGGTATCCGATCAAATGCCTTTTCTAAATCCAGGAATGCGAAATGAATCGGAATCCGTTTCTCCAAATGCCTTTCCATTAGCAATCGTACTGCGCGGATGGCGTTGATGGTGCCAGATCCTTTTACAAAGCCGCACTGATTTGGGGTGACTTCCACTATAGTGTCGATGACTCGTTCGAAGATCTTCATCGTGTGGCATAGAAAGCGTATCGGCCGATATGTTGAGCAGTCGATGACGTCACCCTTTTCCTTCCAGATAGAAACTGTAACACTTGTAGTCCAGATTCGCAGCAACTGTCCGTCAACGATAATGCGGTTAAAGAGCTATGTAAGATATGCCGCTCCACGCTGCCCCATCATCTTCCACACTTCAGCAGATATGTCGTCGGGTCCCGGGGCTTTACCGCTAGACATCTTTCTCAGTGCCTGCACAACTTCTGCCTCCTCGACCCGAGATACCGGTCCAAAGCGGGGGCTCCTTGCGGTACGGGTGCGGGAACTCCTCATTAAATAGACCTTTGTAGTATTCACTCCGCCGCTTGAGTATTGCCCTCGGCTTCGTCAGGAGGTTGCCCTCTGCGTCCTTAATGTGCATGATGTGGTCGATGTCCTGCTTCGCTCGACGTCGTGCAGCGGTCAGTCGGTAGACCTTGTTAGCTCCAGCAAGTCCTTCCAGCTCGTCGTAGAGTCTCTTGTAGTGTGCTTCCTTTGCTTCGGCTACCGCGTGCTTCTCCTTCGAGTTCTGTTCTCGATATCGACGGAGGTCCTCATTTGAGTGTGAGCGCTGCCAGGCTGTGAAGGCTTTTTTCTTCTCTTTGATCACTTGCTGGACTGTCTCAAACCACCACCCGATCTGCTTGTATACAAACCGGCGTCCTGGCTTGGTCTTTCCCAAGATCTCCTCGGCCCTCGATCGTATCTGCGAAGTAATCTGATTCCACTGTTCTTCAACCGATTCCTTATCATCCGTCGACACCCTCAGATCATTAAAAGCATCTCTAACTTGCTGGCGATGTTCGGGAAACTTCCAATATTTGATCCTCTTTGTGGCCGTCCTTCTGGCTCAATGCAAGTGGAGTTTAGTCGAAGATCCAATACGGGCAACCGGTGCTTGGCGCTAATGCATGTGCCGCCGTGGGTATAACCTTCGCGTTCATCATCATCGGCAAATGGCATCGGCGCAGCATCCAGTAGTCGATCTGTTGAGCGGTCTACACTCGCGTACGTGATCAAATGTCACTCCCGCTTCTTAAAAAGTGTGTTTGCTATAGCCAAGTCGTGTGCTTCTGTTGCTTCTGGATGCGTTCTCCATCCTCATTCCTCTCACCGTATCCATTTCCACCATGGTATCGCTGGAATCCATCGTGTGCGTGGCCAACGTGCCCATTAAGATCACCTCCTACAAAGATGTAGTCTGCGGCGTCGAATGTCCTTAGTAGGATGTCGAAGTCCCTCCAAAACGTCCTTCTCGGCTTCGGTACATGCGGATTGCGGGGCATAACACGAGACTATTCGAAGCGTGGCATCATCTGCTTCGATTTTCATCGCCATCAATCTGTCTGAAATGCCCGTCACTTCGGTCACTAATTCGCGGTATCTGCCGTTAACGATGATCGCGACTCCGTTCTGGCGGCTGCTATCTCCCGTGTAGTATAAGCGATATCCCTCTCCGATGTCCTTAGCCTGCCTCCCTTTCCATTTCGTTTCTTGTACACATGCGATGTCGATGTGTCGCTCCCTCAATCTATCGCATAGCTTCCGGCTGCGGCTCGTCAGCGTTCCTATATTAATCGTCGCTAGTCGGATTTCCTGGACTCGCTTCTTTGCCTGCTCGTCCGGGGGCGGGTAGTCCTAGCTCACTATTCGCGCCATGCGGGCAATAACGCGCGTCGCCTCCGGGAGACACCCTAGCAGCTTGATAAAAACCTTAATAGTCCGATGCATGTGACACGACTGATTCGCACAGTCCCCGGCACATCGCTCCGCCTGACGAGACAGTGCCCTCGTCGTTTGCCGGGATTGATCCCCGTTGCCAGCCGGCACCGCGCGGAGGTGACGATGGGACTTTGCCGGCATGCAGGGCGAGTTAATGATGAGCAAAAATATTTCCATCAAGAAAAAGTTCGACGATTCCACATTTGTCGTAGATGAGGTAAGGGGGAGGACTCGGCATGGGCAGGAGCCAGGATCTTCCTGAAAGTCGCCTTTGGAATTAGCTTTCACTAGTCCTTATTTTACCCAAAGTATCGCTCACTTTAAGAAGGACTGTCAAAAAAAGAAATCCTTCTTTTCCTTTGAGAGCATGCGGCAAGCGCATTTTAATTCATGGTCGGGGCCTAGGTCCACCACTCGCCTTCTCTTCTCTCTTCATTCCCCCTTTTTGCCTTTTCCGCTGTGCAGCTAGCCCTTCACCCTCCGTCCTCCCCTCTTGTAAATGATGACCTAATCAATAGCACAAACTAAGAATTCATAATGAGTTTCCTTCGAAACGATGAAAGGAAAACTGACGAACATCCGGTTTATATGAGACATTCATGCGTTGCTTAGCGCTTTGCGATAGGAGCAAGACTGTTTCAAGTATAGAAAATCTTTAGCCCTTTCGGATCTGGATTTTCTCCTGTAACAAAAGAACCCTCATTCCCATTGTTTTTCACTTACTAGCATATGCCATGATAGGTATTTCGGAAATCCATTTTAGTTCCTTTTGATTATTTTGATTTTCCGGTTTTGCTTTTACTTTCATTTTTTATCTCCCTCAATACAAGTGGACATGCAAATTGTTAGCAATTACGCTTGCATGACATTGCATTGGAAGTTTTCGATTGAAGGATATTTTTATAGCCAGTGAAGGAAATTACTGATACTGTGCTGACGCCGAAGCACAAGTCACTTGTTTACATTAATGCTTGTTTTGCTAACTGAAAAACGAACGCAAACGCGGTTTCAAAGCTATACAATACCGCTCATAATTCGTCAAAAAAGTCGCCGGACTGCGGCGGAGTGCGCTATAGTGCGTCGGAGTGTGGCGGAGTGTGGCGCAGTGCGCCGGAGTGCGTCGGAGTGTGGCGGACTGCGGCGGAGTGCGCTAGAGTGCGTCGGAGTGTGGCGGAGTGCGGCGGAGTGCGGCGGAGTGCGCCGCACTCCGGCGACTTTTTTGACGAATTATGATCGGTATTGTATAGACAAAGGCTATGTGAATAGATCTGCAAAGATCATCAAAATCATGCTCTTGCGCTAGTACAGCAGGTCTCTGATTGATGGTGGGAATTGCCACCACCAGGTCCGAAAGGGTCAAGGGCTCATAAAAGCGAGAAGAAGAGTTATGCAAGTGTTTTTCTAGTTTGGAACCTTTGAATATGCATACCATTGCAAGTCAATGTGAAATGCTCGCACGCATTCAGTAGTTTCTTTGACTATGAAGTAGTGTGCGCTCGGCGCACGAGGCGCAAAGGGTTTCACAGATGATGCTAAAACCTTTTTTTATGCAAAATGTAGTCTATAAAAAAAGAAATTATGTGGGATTGTGTAGCTCAGCGGGTAACGATCTCGAACGCCCTTGGCTAATTTGGAAAAGACGGTCACAACTCCCATTCCCCTGTTTTTCGTGAAATTCCTAGCCAAAATTGGAGGTGCATGAGTCGCTCTTGCATGCACACCAGATTTGATGGCATGCCATAGCGTTCTTTGACAAAGCTTTGTTTATCTGGGTCACACTTTAGACTACTCTCACTGCAAGATTGTGGTACAACAAGTAAGTAGTGCTTGTGTCTTGACTTTTCTAAGCAGTTGAGGTTGCTTAGGTGGATAGTTCCCAGCGTTCGATTCTGATATTTTGTTTGGATATGTTCCCCCTCTCGTCTTGGTTTGCAAGAACGATGTCCCCTTTGCTTTCTCCCACAGAAAGAACATCCGTTCCACTCCTGTTCCAGCTTTGTCCGACCCTGACATGGAGAGTATTCTAATTTGCTGTAATGATAGGATACCTCTGATTTTTGTAATCCTGTTCAAAAAGACTGCGTGATACTGAAAAGAACTCCTTCATAAAGTGCGAAACTGAAATTGAAATTCACTCTTTTGAAGCTATGCCGTTTCAGATACTAATCCTCACAATGCTGTTATTATTTGTCGCACATTCTGTCGCTTGGTCAGGAATACAGGTTTGCGAAGAATTGGAAGTTGCTTAACCACTTCATGTGGTGCCTTAGAACTTTGCTTATAATCAGGGATCGATTCGCAAAATAAGCCATAGCAACGCTGGTAATAAGTGAAATATTAGCTTCGGCTTGCATGGTTTGACTTTAAAACGAGCGCCACACCAAGTCCGGGCACGCGTGACTATGCAAAGAATTTGTTTCAAAATCGGTTCGCGCAAGCCAATTTCACTCACTCAGTCGTGTTCGCGATTTACGCCACATCATTGGGGCACACCGCAACATTATGACCTGAATGTGGAGCAATACTCTGCTTCGTATTCTTGAAGGAACTGTTTCACTTTTCTAAATAAGTGTTCATTTTCCCAGTTTAAATGAATGGCCCTAGATTGCTCGTGTGCGGCTTTCGTGCACTGTAGTATGGATTATCAGATACAACTTATTGGATAACCACGGGAAAGCGAGAGAATCCCAGGATGTGGGTTTGCTTAGGTACTGCCTCCGAGAGGCAAAGATTGAATGAACAGAATGGGAGTTTACCTGAAGGCGACAAGGATCGGAGCCAGAAAAAAAACCTTGACATAAAATTATGGCCTAGTTCGCTTGTTAGGCAAGAATACACAGTGAGGAAGCTTTGTCGAGAAGTGGGAAAGAATAGATCAAGAAACCAATAATGTCCAACGTGACTCGCGAGGCAACATCTTTTTATCGGATCTTGCATAGCTAGCACTGGCTTTCACTTTTATACCGACACTTTCTGGTTTTTATATGGCTTGGTGGTCTTTTTTCATTGCAGGGGAGTCATCACGCAAGATTGATACTCTACTGTATGCTTAGTGCATGGAACAGTACATGGGAAAAGAAATGGAAATGATTGAAAGCAGCTGCTACCCCAGAAGACATAGATCTATAATACAAGGCTTAATGCTTTGCCCAAGCTTGTACTGGTTCCACTACTTGTGTAAAAATACTTGATGTATTTTACATTCTCCCTCAAGAACTCCTGTGTTTCATGAATGAAACCTTAGAGCTGTTTGTGCTACTACTGAGTTCTTCTTGACGCCATGTTTACGTACAATATTTTTTATGAAGTTGAACGAAGTCGTTACAACTTAAAACCAATGAACCTGCTTTCTTGAAAAGACAATGTAGATCCATATAACATGCGATAGATATTTTTTTCTGGCAGCGTGGCAGTAGTTGAAAGTTAACCGAGGCTATTTGTGCAATCCAACTATCGTCAGGCATATCAGTTGTACCATTTTTTGACTCTTCCTGATTTATGCAACTTTGGTGTGCCTACTCATATCTGCTTTGGGGCACGTATCATAGCCATGCTTTGTTTGATATCTTATGCAATTTTGCAGGTCAGATATCAAGACATCAATTTTCAAAAATCACAAATGCAAAAATGACATAACCATGTTATTTCAGTTAGCAATGGTTGCTGAGCGTTGTTTCGCATTGTGGAAGTGCAGCAGCTACGAGGCATATGGTATGCAGCTGGGCCTAAAATTGGCAATTATCTCGGTAAGATTCCAACAGCTACAACATAACCGAAAATTTGTGTTAAATGTATTAGGTCGTTCCGAAAGTAATGTCGCTTTTTTCAATTGAACGCTACATTTCGTGGAAGCAAGGTTTCCAGGAGATCTTGGTAGCATTCGATGCAGCATTTCATCCTCTTTCCAAAGGCTATGATTTTACTGCAGAATACTCGATGAGCTTTTGAAAAATTACTAAAATCTCCAATCCATGCTTTTTGGGAAGGTCAAGTTTCACAATTTTTCTAATTTTTTGTAAGAATTCCCGGAAGGAGTCCAAGTAATGTATGGATAGAGCAAACCCTATAGGAAACGGTGCCATTTTTTTCTGCTCTCCATATCACGTCATAATTTTTGCAGAGATTTTTCAATGAAGTCACCGAATTTTTGCAGGCTTGTCTCAAACACATATGCATCAAACACCAATAAACTTTCGGATTCTGAAACTTGCAAAGGTGGATTATGGTTTAACACTAATTTTACAAAGCATATGAGCATTTACCGCTTCAGATTAGCAACTTTAGGAAATTTTGGGTACAGCCTGAGCACCCTGGAAAACCTGTATTATGATGATTTTTTCCGGAAAACTTTATAAATCGGAAACCAAAAACAACTGGTAAGAAGAGGAGAAAAAGCTGCGTTGAATGACACCCGAGTTGCTTGCCGGTTGTTGTTCTGTGAGGTCTGAGTTGACCAAATATGGAATTTGACAGCATCGAAAAATTGGTTCTACAAACTCTAAGAAGCAAACTAAGGAAAAGAAAAAAATTGTTTTGTGTCCTACAGGGTTTGCTCTATTCATCTGTTACTTGTACATCTTCGGGGAATCAGTACAAAAACATAGAAAAATAGCTGAACTTGACCATGACAAAAAGCATGAGTCGCAGGTTTTGGTAATTTTTTGAAAGCTCATCGAATATTATGCAATGAAATTACAACGATTAGAAAGAGGACAAAATTCTGCATCGAATAAACCCAAAATCTCTTGAAAATCTTGGTTCCACGGATTGTGGCGTTCATTTGAAAAAAGCGACATTACTTTCGGAACGACCTAATATATATGAATTAGGTCATGATCGCGCTTCCCGCTACTATATGGACTCTACAACACGAAATTGGTTTGGAGCGAAAACCATCTTGCTTTTCCACAACAAAATCTACCACGGAAAGAATTTCTATTCTGTGCTCTATACTTTGTGGCTTAAATGTGACTACGTTAATTGCCCTAGCTACGTTGTATATCTGTAATAAGAAGGCCATAAGAAGGTAAGACACATTCATTATATAGAGAAGTTACATTCATTGTACTTCAGCAAACACTACGATTTGCGTACGTCTTATCAACTAAATGAGAACTATTCTGTTATCAGATTACTTTTACCCCTAACAATATTCCAAAACATTTGCTACGCATTTTTTGATATTTCTGGAGTATTGCTTGCATCGATATCTCCTAGAATCGATGCTTTGATATTCCGCATTTTGTTTACTGCCATCTATGTGAGTGCGATAATTTGACAAGAAACTTTTTCTAATACGATACGCAATAGATGCCGCCTTACTATACACTGATATCTCCAATAATGATGTGGACGATCATAAAGTACTCCCAGCGTTTGAAAGTCGCTCGATTGATTCAAGTCACCAAGCAGGAGTGGCGAGGGAACGACGTCTACGCTTACACTAAATTCTGGAATTGATTATCGTTGAACCAACGCTTTGGACTTGATTGTGATAGAATAAAAAATTACCACAGGCATTAAATAGATTTGTGTCGGAACATGCTCACAGATTGAACCCCTTTAGATTGTATTTTGCAAGACAAGCCTCGTTGTTGCTATCACCTTCTCACTATATGTGTGATTCCATACGCTTCCATGTTCCTGCATAGTAATTTTCTCTCTCCGTCGCCAGTCAGCATTAAGCTCCGCCCAAAATGATGGCGCAGAAGCCTGCCGGAGTAATGCGATTGTTTGGGAGAATGATTAAGGAACGGAACTATCCTGTTAGCGTGTTAAGTGCTTCAGCTTCCTGAACGACTTAAATACTCATAGTCTAAAGTGACGGCTTCGACCAGAAAATTGCATGGCCAAGAGCGTCCATTTTTACTTTACATCATAATCCCAGATTCTTGAAAGAGCATTGCCCTCACCGATGTTAAACTAGTGTTCCATGCCTCCTGTTGCTGAAATGGTGAAGCTGGAAGAAAAGATAAAATCCATTTATGCGGGTATCGCGACTTGTATCCGACTTTCGCTTCAGAATGTAAACTAATCAAATGCTATTGCAGGACGGAGGCGCAAAACAGTATCAGATGAGCGGGTGTGAATGCAAAGCGCGCGTATCTTCACCGTTGTAATTCCTGCCCTCATGCGATTTGCGACTAATACAGCGCGTTTGCGCCCAAAAATACTGCGCCTTTCTCAAGCAGCAACCTATATCTACATTTATGAAAAGCTGAATGTCTGTTTGTCGGTCTGTATGTCTGTCTGTGTGTGTAAGTGTGCACGCATGTTCCGCAGAGGAATTTGTGAACCGATCCAGACCAAACTTCGCACACGTACACTTTGAGGCAAAGTGGATGTCGTAGGCTAGTTTTGTTACCGATCGATATCGATTCAATAATTATTATCAATTTTTTGCATAATTTGTCGTACGGGTAAGGGGCATGTTGATTACAAAGACATAATGGAAGGTAGGGACACGAGCAAGTGTGAATAAAAACGAAAATGGCAATTATTATAGCGTAGGGCTACATTGACAGGACTGGCGGGCCCGGCTATGCCAGCTAGTTTCGTATAATCCTATGCGTTCCTGCAAAGGATCATTTTTGTTGTCTCCATTCTGAATTTTTTCCAAAGACACCTTCCATAAGAGGTTTTTGGCGTTCTTCACGTTTTCTATTCATGCGCACGAGTTCTCGAACTGCTGTAAAGCGTAAGAACGACACTCGCCCAAGAGCTTGCACAATATTTTGAAGGCAGTGGCTCGGCAAATCTCAACCTAATTCATATTTTCGCTTACCCGAGGTTATTCAATACGCTGATCCCGTAAATCCTCTTTAAAGAGCTTGAAAACGGCGAAAACGAGCGTTTTTTAATGTCTTTACCTTTGAAATTGGACGAGTGGAGCGAGGCTGACGACGCTGAATCGTTGCAGACCCAATATTTATAGCATTTCGACGGGGAGCCTCTAATGTTGAGAAGGAATTGTCAACTCGTCCGGGCGCGTGTAAGATTGGCTTGCGCGTTTAAGTTTGAGAGTAATTTTCTCGGCAGGGAAGGCATGCTGTGCAACCGGGACTGCACTGTTTTCAAACTTGGGCGATAAGCAGCTTATCGCGTTAAAATCCTGAGTTGTTAAGTTTTGCCGATCCGCTGTCTTTAAAGTACGTCAAAAAATTTTGAACGTATGCAAAAATCAGTTCCAGGCCAATTTTTTGTGGAGTTTTATGCTTGTGCTGTGCGCTATCATAAATGCCTGTGAAGCAGTACATAACCTTTGATTCAACCGGCTTGGCTTCGGGAAGGCGGGGCTTTGTGACATTAAGGTCGCTCGCACCCGCGACGCACCTGCGTCTCTCTCGCGCGACTGCTCTCAGATCATTAGCTAGCCTTAATTAAGTCATGAAGCCCCGCCTTCCCGAAGCCAAGCCAGTTGAATCAAATGGTATATAGCATTTGAGTCTTTTCTTTGGCCAAAAATCAATGTAGACACGTAAGAGACAGACATTGTTTGCGATGGCACACTTGATCGTGTGACTAGACTATGACTGCAGATGGATTTGAACAAGGAAAAAATAATTAGCGATGTGATCGCTTGCATGAGCGCATCATTCATATCAGTTCACACGAGGAAATGATGTGAATATGCTGCACGCTTTTGAAATATGAGACAGATGGTGTTTTATCTGATGGATGTGATGGATGAAGAAGCACTGACATTAGGTTACCGACTTAATACAACGTCTGGGAACTCATTATAGCTTTTCTAACTTAGTGCACATATATCCAAACGAAAAACACTGACATTATGTTATTATGCAAGAACAATCTAGGCTACCAACTACGTAGTGTTCTCTTAATTGCGAAAGTCCGCAATTTTTTTCTACAGAGAATCAGTTCACTCCTCCTTCATGGCAGTTTGCAATACACAAGATCAGTTTCACTCTACATGAGCATGCTAACGACAAGCACGCTACCGGAGCTTCGAATTAGGATGCAAATTCCTGGATGATTTTGATGTAGTTATTAGTTTGATTGATTCTGTTTATGTTCCTGCTGATACGAAGAAAATCACTACGCTGATGAACCTGAAAAAAGTTTCACAATTTTTGTTCATTTAAGTCCTGTTTCCTCGAGCAATTCGATTACTAGTCAATAGTTCATAAGTCGTCTACCTGTGAAAATCACGTTTATATGATATCAGTTTTCTGGGTAGAATTGTCCATGCCTTGTTCAACGCTGGAAATGAGTATGGGCTACATCATGGTGATGATCTCACAGATACTCGCAAGTATATTGACAGCAATCATCTCCGTTTATGTTATAATAAAATGTAGCCGTTTATTTTTTCACATCAATTGCAAGGTGGGTTGACAAGAAAACTCTTGATTGTGTCTTCTAGTATCAAGCACGGGATCAAACTTCCCTTCTTAAACACCACTTTCTGATCAGTAGTGGGAAATAAATTCCATTTTTTCAGCTTCAAGTAGTTTTTTTAGATACTCATATACTTCATGTTATGGCTATATTTTGCACATTCACTTGCCTATGGTGGTCCACAGGTCAGTCAACTTAAAAGGTAAACATAGTGCGTTCGTTTCGAGAATCCGCGCTCCATCCATCTTCTTAGATTCTAAAATTTGATGCTATTCCCTTGATATCGTCCTTTCTGCCTCCATAAAAGTCCATACACGAAGTCAAATCTTCTCAGTTATGATAGCATGTGAACGAATCTAAGGACGTAGCGGTAGTAATTTTTAATAGAATAATTCAATTTTTCTGTGCGCCTGGGTAACACCTTTACGAACCGAGACTGACAACAGCGTTGATGCTGATTTTCGGCTTGATACTTTTCCTCCCTTCCTCTTTGTTTTTCTTTGATGGGGTCGCAATATGTTCCGTAAGTGTTGGGTTCATGCACCTTATTGCCCTTATTGCACGATCAAAATTCTTCAGCTTGAATGTGGTACCACTGCTTTCTAACTCACCAAATTTAGGCATACCAGCTATTTTATTTTTTAACGCTAGCAGATCTATGCCATTTTGGAATTCCTATCAACATCTGCTTAACAGTACGAATAATTTCCATGCTATGTATGACTTCCTATGCGAGCTTACAGGTGGACAAAAACTTTACTAAAGCTAAAAATTTTATGTCGTAACTCAAGTTCTTGATCTTCCAGCTGGCCATGGTCATTGAACGTTGCATCGCGTTGTGGAAGTGCAGAATATACGAAACTTTTGACATGAAGCTGGGCTTATGTTTTGCAGTCTTCTCGGTAAATATTTTATCAACTGTCTAGCAACTATCTCATATCGCATCAGGTCGGAGCCTCGTTTGCTGCTACGATGTGGACTTTACAAAGCGAAATCGGCTTGGATCTCAAACCATCATGTTATTCCACAACAAAATCCACTGTAGAAAGAATGTTTACGTTGAGCTTCGTTCTCTGTGCTATGAATGTAGCTACGCTAATTGGTCTGGTTACATTGTACGTCAGTAATAGGGAAGGTATCAAAAGGTAAGATGCATTATTTCGGAGACGCCGCACTCATACATACATTCCAGAAGGCGTTATGATTTAAGATCATCATATCAATTAGAGGAAAACTTTTCTGTCATCAGATTGCTCTTTCCTCTCACAGTTTTTCATAACATATGCTACGCATTCTTGACTCTCTTTGGCGCGTTGCTTGCCTCGATATCTCAACGAATTGATGCTTCCATTTTTCGAATATTATTTCTACTCAATTATGTGAGTGCAGTTTTCTTATGTCAGAGTGTTTAAGCCAACCAAAGCTTTTAGGTCGTTCCTTATTACACGTTAATTTGTCCGCTAGTCATTTGGTCAATTATAATATACTCTCAGCGCTTAAGAATTACAATGCTGAGTCACGCAAAACAAAGGAACAGAGCTGCAGATGTCCACGCTTATGCTAAGATGTGGAAGTGAAGTGGTTCTTCATACTTCTGACAGCAATTATTGTTATTCGTCATGTGTTTGGACAAACTTGGAGCACAGAAATAAAAATTTAAACCGTAATTCAGGCCCAGTGAGAGTAAACAAATCATTACCAAGCGCACTGCAATTACTGATTGAAAAGGTGTTGGAACAGATTCTTGGCAAAAATGGATTTTGGATGGATTTCGATATCATGCAAAACTATTGCGGAAGTCCTGACTAAGCATCATGCCAACGCAAGAAGTGATGACCAACTAAGGGCGATTTTCACAATTGTTGCACGGTTTGCTAATAAAGTTACCACAAGCGAAACGCTGTTTCAACTGGTACTGATAATGAATATCGGCAAGGAAGTCACAATTTGTAGGTTTTCTCAAAAACCATCTTATTCGCAAAGGTCTTGGAAAAAACACGATCTCAAAGAAGATCTCGCGAACCTAGACCATCGGTGGCCTACGCTGTCGCCGGTGATTTAATGTCGAAATCAGGCGAGTCACTCGGACGCTGGTATAGCTGTAAGCTAGCGGACATTTCTGCCCACTTACGTCTCACAGAATTTTTGTATAGTATAGTATGTTTGCAGTGTCAAGACTCTGCGGTAAATTTATCGCGAACAAATAGATGCTTGTGATGCCGACACTTGCACCAAAATGCGGGCATTACTAGCATGGCTATTTGTTCATGCGCAAGTTTGCAGAAGCTCTGCACCACAGGCGTATTGAAGGCAGCGTCCCGGCAAAATCATGGGTATTAAAATTTCATAGCGTTACAGTAATGGACCCCCCAACTAATCTATTAATGGAGTGAAAAAGCATATCTGGAAAACCTAAACCCACTCCAAAAGCTTTTCGGGCTCCTGCCGTTCGTTTTGGACTCCGCCTGTCTACAAGTAATTTTGAGCGAACGTGGACTATTACACTTCAAAAACTCAATTTAACCCCTCAAAGAGCGCTGTGCCTTGTCGGACCCCCTCTCAAATTGGAATAGTCAAAGGCGATGGAATAGCTGCATTGTCGTTGTACAGCCCTTGTAGCAGTCGGTTAAAGTCCTCACTCCTTGATCGACTAGCGCTGACAGGATGGCGTTGGTTTCGACGCTGTCAAAGGCTTTCTCGTAGTTGACGAAGGTTAGGACCAGGGCCCGGCACGAGGTCGGCAAATGACAAGCTGGAAACCGTTCTGGGGCCAAAAAGCAAAGGGGAAATCGTTTTTGCGGGGTCCGGGGCAGAGCCCCGGAAAAAAATTGGTAGTTCATGCTCGCTACTTATCTTGACATGTTATGTGCCTCAACAGGCGAACACTGGAGTTCGCGCGCGTCAAACCGCGCCGTCGCTAAGTGCCGCACGCGCGACGTCGCCCAAGCGATGCTATTTTTTAACTGCATACATGACTAGTTCTCAATGTGTATGTAACGATATGGCACCAAATTTTGTGTGCGAACGAACAGAGGCTAGTGGAAACATAGTATGAAAAATTATGAAAAACTTATGTGAACGGAACGAGTAATTAGCATTTTTTCCGAGAATTTCGCAAAACTGGTAAATGAAAATGTGAATTTAAACGGCTCGTTTGGATAGCGCAGATGAACGATATGGTATGAAACTTGGTAAGTACATGCACACGGGCTTGCAGGACTTAAATGAGGAGTTTCATTGAGAAATTATGTGACTGAAGGTTGTGGCAAACTTTTTTCTGGAAATTTTGCGCTACCAAAGAAATGGAAAAATGGCTCGTTTGCAACGCAGAGGTAACGAAATCGCGCGGGCTTCGGTGTGTATATGCGCAATAGGACTAAGTAATAAAGTATGAAATATTATGAAAAACTTATGTGAATGAAGAGTTTCCTTAACTTATTTCCAAATTAGGTCGGCATTTGCCGACCTAATTCCCACCTGAGGTCGGCAAAACTCTCAATTCACATAATTTTCTCAAAATTTTTACATAAATCTGTTGTACACCTAAAGTTTACTACATGGTGAAATTTTGGTTCCGAAACTCCTCCTCTTGTCCTTGTTGGAGCCCAAAATGGCATCAGCAGCCCAGCTTTCTAAGATAGAAAGCGCGCCCCAGTCAATCGATACGCGCGGGAACGGCGTCTCTCATTCCTATGACTGCGTTTCTTTGATATTTTCTCATTCCCTAATCCTTTTTACTGCTTATTTTTCTTCCTGTTTCCTATCTTGGTACAGCAATTTGAGTAATATGAGGAATTTGAGCAATTTGGGCGCTTTTGAGCGCTTTTAGGCGAAGTGTGGCCGGTAATCTCGTCGCACAAGCACAAAACGTCATTTTTGGGCTCAAGGGAGTATTCGTAAAACTTACTGGGATCAAAGGGGTATTCGTTTTGGAAAACCCCGTTTGCCCACCTTGTGCCGGGCCCTGGTTAGGACAAGAGGCAGTCGGTATTCCGGGCAGAATTCTATGACCCTCGAAGCCGTCTGGATGTGGTCCATGCAGCTGAATCCTTTGCGAAATCCCTTGTTTTTGGGACTGGGCTTTGGCCAGTGTCTTAGATATGCGAGCAAAAATAATCTTCTTGAAAAGCTTGTGCACGTAGGCATAGTGGGCTGTGGTTCCAAAAATCCTCCCGCTCGCCCTTCCTGAAGTTCTCCACTAATCGGGAATCCTTTCCTTCTGAAAATCTTAGAAGCGACGCAAGAATATCGTGTAGACGTTGTCCTCTATCTCGCAGAAGCTCGACAGAAAGATGGTCTAATCCTGAAAAACTGATTCATGGAAAAGCGATGTGTTGAGGTCCAAAATTGAACAGGTAAACCGAAACAAATTAAATTATTCTCAACTCATTTTGGATGCTACTGAAGAACGCCATTTTGGAAAAGCCTTGTTCCCTCCTATCTGAGCTTTTTCAACCGTTAGGCCAATAATCGATCAGATTTTGATGGCAGCACAGGTTGTTGACTGCTCCGTCACGATGTTCGTGTATCTGGAAAATATGTCAGATGGGTCTAAAGATTCAATTAAACTGAAGTATACTGGTACTGTTGTGATTACTTAGGGACGGGACTGAGGAGGGTAAGATAAGTGTTGTTTGGTAGTGCTTAACATGGAATGCTCAGAACTTAACCCAGCCATACCAAACATGCTGTATGTCGTCGTCTTGAGTGTGTCGTCTTGAAACGCTGATTACAAATGTATGTTTACTATCTGCCAAGTGACTATCTGGGAGGAGGTATGAGCGTCTAAATGTGCTATTTGTCAAGTGTTCTGTGGCCCATGTTCCACGAAATGAGTTTCGAAAACACTTATTTAGCTTTTTGGTAAATGTGCTTCTTCCTTGTAATTAAAATGACCATAGCGACTCTAAATCCTCGCTTTCAGGCTGTCTTTTAAGGAAACACAGGGCGTCTCAAAAAGATGTGCCTACTGTTTAACTGTAAATAGATCTCTTGTAATGAAGTGTTTCGAGAAGCTTTAGATACCATTTTGTACAGCGAGGTTAAACTTAGATTAACAATATAGAGCAAATCATCGATCGCTCTTCACTACTGTAGGATTACGGTAAGGACACACCACCTAACAAAATTTTTTTTCAAAAAATCTAAATCGTGTACTAGGGTTTTCGCGCGTGCTGCTTCCACCTAGCAACTTTTTATGAGTGTTTTCAGCTTTTTTGATGGTGTAATTACATTTCTGACAAAGGCTGGGAATTGAATTATTGCGATTTACCGGGGATAACTTAGGAAAGAAACATCGCAGTAAAATGGGAGTTTCAATTTCGAAATCGCTTTCATCACCAAAGTATAAGAGTTTTTGGCTTATTTGGTTTTGTTCCGAGGCAAAATTTAGCCTCCAGTGACCTAAAATCCTTGACGAAGTTTGCGTATTCCTACAGTAATGAAGAGCGATAGATGATTCGTTCCATACTGCAAATCTAAGTTTAACCTCGCTCTACAAAATGGTACCTTAAAGCTTCTCTAAAACTTCATTACATGAGAGTTATTTACAATTAAACAATAGGCACATCTTTTTGGGACACCTTCTCAGATAACCGCCGGGGGCAGGCGGCCATGCGAATTTTGAGCAAGCGCGCACCGGAAAAATAGTTCGTTGATTTTTTGCGGCCCGCTTGCAGAAATTTGGAAGAAAGTTGGCGAAATTAAAGACGAATGCTTGAAGAACAGTCGCGGTTTCTTTATGGATTAGCTGCGGCGCAGTGGCCGCATTCTCGCGGACTTTCCGCGAGAATATGCAAAAATTTCGAGGGCCGCACGGTCCTTTGTGGAGGACCGCGCAACCCCCAGGTACTTTCCGCTGAGAGAAAGTACCTCAAACTTGAGTAATTAAACCAACGGTGACACCTCTGCCACACAGAGTCTTACCTGCGCTCGACGTACGCCCGAAAATACCTAAAAAGAGTCCGAGCGCTTGCTGAAAGTTTGGCCAGCGCTCGCTGAAAGATATTATTTGACGAGCGCTCGCAGAAAATTCTGTATTGCTGCCCGCTGGCGGAACGCGGAAGTACCGCCCGCTGAAGGTTTGGCCACGCTTCAAAATTCTGCTGACCGCCTGCAGAAAAGCGCGAGTTTGCGGACCGCCTGCCCCCGGCGATTATCTGAGTTGTATATTCATCCAAGTACGACCGTCGCTCAATCTCGGCATTGTGGATATTGCTTTGAGAACTGCTTGAGCTTGACACCGAGATTAGTAATTGCTTTATTCGACTGACGTTTCGGCAAAATCGCCTTCTTCAGAGTCTAAAACAGCTGATGACTGCTTGGCAGCAGACCGTATACGGTCTGCTGCCAAGCAGTCATCAGCTGTTTTAGACTCTGAAGAAGGCGATTTTGCCGAAACGTCAGTCGAATAAAGCAATTACTAATCTCGGTGTCAAGCTCAAGCAGTTCTCAAAGCAAACCTTGTATATTCGTCGAAAGAAGAACTTTAATGTTCCCGATCACAATGATCGTCTAAAAATTCTTAACATGCGAAGTTTGGCATATCGAAAAGTCTCTGATCTGGTTCTCTGCTTTAGATTCTTACGTAGAGAAATCAGACTCAAAGCTAGTAAATGCACCAATCAACGCTCTGGATCGTTCAACTTGCATTATCCCCCAATCAATAAAAAACAATTTTTGCTAACTTTCAACATGTTGTTTTTAAGGGCGCAAGATGGTTACAACATCTTTCGCCTCACATTCTACAATCAAGTAATGCCCAAATGTTCAAGGGAAAGTTATCCAATCTTGATTTGGATAGATTACTGCTAAATTGATGCTGTCTACTTTTTACACATGTTGACTTCCTTTATTCTTGTCCTCTCATACTCTCTCATCTCTCTATTGTAAAATATTTACTCGTGCACACTTATTGTGCATTTTGTAAATATTAGGCCATTCCGAAAGTAATTTCGCTTTTTTCAAACGGACCCCACAGACGACGGAACAAAGACTTTTAGAAGGTCAAGGTAGCATTCGATGCAGAATTTCATTCCCTCTCTGACGGTTATGTAATTGTTGCAAAACAGTCAATGACCTTTCAGAAAATAACCAAAACCTGCAATCCATGCTTTTTGAGATGGTCAAGTTTCATGACTTTATAAAACTTTCATATCAATCCTCAGAAGGAATGCAAGTAACGATTCGATAGGGTAAACTTTATAGAATACAGCACTACTTTTTTCTCCTTTCCATAGCTTGTCATACATTTTTAACAGAATTTTAGCTGATGCTACCGATTTCTATACTTGAGCAGCTATATCCTCGTAGAACATCAAAAAAAGGCAGCTCGCGCACTATTCGATGCAGCACTTTCTCCTCTTCCTAATAGGTGTTTTTTGTTTCCGATTCGTTTAGTTTCCGGGGAGAGATCATCATAATTCATTTCTTTAGCGAGCCCCAGGCTGTACCCGAAAAACTCGAAGTTTGATATTTCGAACCCGTAAACCCCTCACATGCTTTGTAAAATTTATGCTAACTCATAGTACTATCTTGGTAGTCTCAAATTCCGAAAAATTATGGTGTTTGATGCGATTGTGGCTGAGGTGGGCCTGCCAAAATCCGATGGTTTTGTTTAAAAATCTTTCAAAAATTACGGCGAGATACGAGGAAAAGAAAAAAATAGTACTGTATTCTATAAGGCTTACTCTATCAAATCGTTACTTGCGATCCTTCGGAGGATTGATATGAAAGTTCCAAAAAATCATAAAACTTGACCATCTCAAAAAGCATGGGTTGAAGGTTTTGGTTATTTTCTGAAACCTCTTTGACTATTTTGCAACAATTACATAACCGTTAGAAAAAGAATGAAATTCTGCATCAAATGCTACCTTGACCTTCTAGAAATCTTTGTTCCAACGTCTGTGGGGTCCGCTTGAAAAAAGCGAAATTACTTTCGGAATGACCTAATAAATAAATAAATAAATATTTGACGCTCACAACTCCTCCCAGATAGTCGCTTGGTAGACAAAACACATTTGTTTGTGATCAGCGTTTTAAAACGAGTTTGATGACAGCATGTTTGGAATGGCTAGGTTAAATTCTGTCCATTTCCCCGTGAGTCAAGTTTTTATAGGACGAGACGTAGAAAGCTTATTGTTATGTCAACTGACTACGCAGAGAAGTGCAAACATTACCACAATCAGAGCCGTTCAAATGTCTCTGCGCATAAACGTGCAATGGGTCATTAGTTGATTTGGAAAAGCTTTACGAAACAGCAGCACAGACACCACCTCTTATTTATTTATTTATGCATTAGCGCTAAAACCACGGTTGCTTGACATGAAGCAGAGTCCACAAAATTTGTGCGAATTTGAATGCTTTGCATCTTTTGGTTTGCTACACGCAACTCTTGCGAGGGGATTCTGAGTACTGTATTTTGCACAGGTAACTCAACCTTCCCGTCTTTCCGGTGTTTGAAATGTTTCATTCACCACTTTACACCATTGCGCTCGGGAAATGAAGCAGTTAACGTGCAGGATTTCTCTCGTGCGATGCATAGCCTTGGAACATTTTACGATACGATAATGCAATACGTGGTGGTAATAGCAGCAATCACAAATCGTATCCAGTGGAGAAGCCTGAAATGCTCAAAATAAATGCGAAAATAACTATATTTTAGAAAAACTTGTTTCTTGTGCGGGTATCAAAGGTTTAGAGGATGAAGTTCCAAAAGGACATCATGGCTAGGAGTTCATTTCCTGAAACTTTTCGGGTATGAAACTGTGATGAACACATATTTGTGTTCCCATTATTATGCGTCCATCACACTGCCATAACCAAGTTCATTATGATTCCCCGTCAAAGTGATGAGAAATTTACGTGACTGGCGGTACCAGTTCCTCTGCAGGAAGTTGATTTGAATAAATTTTTCAAAAATTATGCAACCTCGAGAAAATGCAAAGAGAAAATAATATATGGTTTATGCTTATGAATCTCACTGTCAAAGGTAACTCGAAGAACAGTAGTATTATTTACTTGAGATCAGGTCGATGCACTTACAGGTGCTCCTTTTAGAGTAACAATTTCTCAACCATGACTGAAATTTCCTTTTGGATTCACTGGCCTTGCATCAATACGAGCTATATGGATTTAGGATAGCGGATAATGGATACAGCTTTGTTTGTAAACGTTCAAAACTGTTCTTTTTGTTGTCTATCATATCACTTCCTTCTCATGTTCACGTATGACTGTATGTACCTGGTATTGACTGTATGTATTCATATGTTACCACTGATGTATCTTTACCTATCGCTTTCTCTAGTTACCCTTATTTCACGCGTACAAGCGCATTTTTTTCGGTTTTTCAAGCAAGTCGCTCAAGCGCTTCACTATGTTTCGGTAATCGATCCTTATGCTGCACGATTCTTTCGAGCAACGTGCAGCACGTTATAGGGCTCTTTACTCGCGAAGTCCTCCGGCGTGTTTAGGCTGCTCAATTTTATAAAAAAAATCACCCGCGCCTTGTATGCGTGAAATTAGGGTACATACGGTGTCCGCACGAAGAACGACGAAAAAGGCCATTTGCTGTGGTTCCGGAGAATTAGGTACATGTTGAAGTTTACGGTAGCTATAACTGCAGAAGTTCCCACGAATTGTGGGCGCATAAGGTCCGAAGAACCACCTTTTCTCAGAAGTTTCCGAAGACTCAAGTGCAGGACTCTCAAAACTTGCGGAATTGCACAGGTGGCCGACGGAACTTTCGTCAAGGTCCTCCTTTACAGAGTGGATCATATGAGTGAAATTATAATGTGCTTGTGAATCCATGGAGACTGAGAACCCTAAAAGAAGGTTTTTGGAGCTTGTGGTGCTACACAAAAGTGGTTGATCTCACATAGCCTAGACCTCCGAAAGTGACAATGGACTTAAGTCTTGAGCACCCAGGGAGATTACCAAACTCGATATCATATTTACTTTGTCACCTACATTACATCGCGATGACGACAAGTTTCACAAGAAAGGGTGAAAATCACCAATTACGATGTTGCAGATAAGGTTGGGCCATGCACAAAGGTTCAAACTTTTGACGTATCGCGATTTGCAAAATACGGCACATTTCCACAGAACGCAGTTGAAAGCTGGAAGTTGTTGCTTCAATGTCTGAGTACGACTAAGTTAAAATTCATGATTTCCTTGCATGCTATGTCAATGAAAGAGAATGACTGAGAAAAAGGACTCTGCAGGAATGACATGATCTCAACAAAAGTGAACAAATTGTATGCATTCACAGCTTTCTTAACTCTTCTTATAGTAAAGAGTTTCGTAGGGTTTTGTAAGAAATCAGCGAAGCAGGAATATGTGATATGACCAGGGCCCGGCACAAGGTGGGCAAACGGGGTTTTCCAAAACGAATACCCCTTTGATCCCAGTAAGTTTTACGAATACTCCCTTGAGCCCAAAAATGACGTTTTGTGCTTGTGCGACGAGATTACCGGCCACACTTCGCCTAAAAGCGCTCAAAAGCGCCCAAATTGCTCAAATTCCTCATATTACTCAAATTGCTGTACCAAGATAGGAAACAGGAAGAAAAATAAGCAGTAAAAAGGATTAGGGAATGAGAAAATATCAAAGAAACGCAGTCATAGGAATGAGAGACGCCGTTCCCGCGCGTATCGATTGACTGGGGCGCGCTTTCTATCTTAGAAAGCTGGGCTGCTGATGCCATTTTGGGCTCCAACAAGGACAAGAGGAGGAGTTTCGGAACCAAAATTTCACCATGTAGTAAACTTTAGGTGTACAACAGATTTATGTAAAAATTTTGAGAAAATTATGTGAATTGAGAGTTTTGCCGACCTCAGGTGGGAATTAGGTCGGCAAATGCCGACCTAATTTGGAAATAAGTTAAGGAAACTCTTCATTCACATAAGTTTTTCATAATATTTCATACTTTATTACTTAGTCCTATTGCGCATATACACACCGAAGCCCGCGCGATTTCGTTACCTCTGCGTTGCAAACGAGCCATTTTTCCATTTCTTTGGTAGCGCAAAATTTCCAGAAAAAAGTTTGCCACAACCTTCAGTCACATAATTTCTCAATGAAACTCCTCATTTAAGTCCTGCAAGCCCGTGTGCATGTACTTACCAAGTTTCATACCATATCGTTCATCTGCGCTATCCAAACGAGCCGTTTAAATTTACATTTTCATTTACCAGTTTTGCGAAATTCTCGGAAAAAATGCTAATTACTCGTTCCGTTCACATAAGTTTTTCATAATTTTTCATACTATGTTTCCACTAGCCTCTGTTCGTTCGCACACAAAATTTGGTGCCATATCGTTACATACACATTGAGAACTAGTCATGTATGCAGTTAAAAAATAGCATCGCTTGGGCGACGTCGCGCGTGCGGCACTTAGCGACGGCGCGGTTTGACGCGCGCGAACTCCAGTGTTCGCCTGTTGAGGCACATAACATGTCAAGATAAGTAGCGAGCATGAACTACCAATTTTTTTCCGGGGCTCTGCCCCGGACCCCGCAAAAACGATTTCCCCTTTGCTTTTTGGCCCCAGAACGGTTTCCAGCTTGTCATTTGCCGACCTCGTGCCGGGCCCTGGATATGACCCAAAACCGAAGTAATCTTCATCTGATCCAACTTCAGGTAATGCAAACACTGAGGAAAGTAGTCATATACGATATGAAAAGAAGATGGGGACAGAGCAAGTCAGTGTATTTTGCTGGAAAAATCAAGAGATTATCTTGTGGGTTTCGATGATCATATTTCGCTGAAATGTAATCGCACTCTTACAGTACAAAACTTGACATATCGATGCTGTATAACATTAGCAGCCTCAATGACGAACGGATTCATTGACATATATTTTGCGATTAAGGTCAAAAAGATAGAATATATAATTTTTGTGGCACTCATGTATTTTGTTTGTGAGTGCACCGTACGTATCAGCACGAATTTGGCTTGTACTGCATAATATTTAGTTATTTATTCTGATTATTCATTACCTCAAAGTAAGTACACGTGGAAGCTCTGCGCTCGGTAACTATGCAAGATCATTGATCACCAGACTGTACTTTATGTACTGACTGTATAAGTGATGAATTTAGTTTTTTCTGAAAAGTTTTTATATAGTTGCGGTCATTGAACACAGCCAAATTTTTTGAACATATTTGCGATGTTCTAATGGACATCGCAACATCGTCCATCCATAAGGCTTCACTTTACACTTCTCTACTTCTACAATTATTGCAAAACACTCTTCTAAGATTTTCTATTTGCAGCATAGTTTAACGAAAGACTTTATCCAATGGTGATGTTGTGGAATTCATACTGATAGTAGGTTTCTGTACTCCACTTTCACTCTCTATGCACTTCGTTGTGGAGCACACGATAGGCTCTAGTGAAACGGCTAAATCGGCGAAATGCAAATTTTTGATAGCTCCGTTGTCTTTACCGCAGCTGTGACCGTAAACACACTTTTTTCAATCCTAGCGGTCGGTAGCTCTCATCAGAAGTTTTTCTGGTCGTCAACTTACCAGCATTCTAAAAGTTCCCACTTTTTTGCCTCTTCTTTTCTTGCATCTTTTCGCTGTTCGAAGTGGATTCTTGCAAATGAGGTTTCATTTGAAAGAGCCAGTTTTATATATGCTATACTGAATTTTTCGACATAATCAGAAAAATTTTCAACCACTTGCATATAAAAGCGAAGTTCTTGATTCACTGCAAATCCTTGGAAAAAAATTTTGTTTCAGCGTGTCCCAGCTTTTATGCTGATCCTCTTAATACGAATGACATGTGTCAAACGCAGAGTTAGCCACTTTAGCTGCAAAATAAATCTAGGCTTAGGAGTAAAAATCAGAAATTTGTATTCAACTCAGCTTGTGCTCGACGCGAAAATCAAGTCTGAAAGCGGAGCAGAGGGCAAGAGATAAAATAGTTCTGGGCAAAACCTGCTTATATTATAGAAACAAACTACGAGGTTTAGCTGGATTGATTGACTTGCTATAATCTAGAATGCAGAAGTGAAGGAATTGTCCATCCAAAAAGTTTCAATCCTGGATTTCAAGATTATTAACAATTGCTGAGATTAACTCAACCCTTATGTGAACTTACATAATGCTTTGAGAAAAGCAGAATTGCTCACTTTCACAAGTTTTGTTCAGCTCTTCTGAAGGGAGAAAAATCAAGTATGTATAAAATCAAAACCTATGGGTTGCTGAGCCCCAACAACTCTGGTCAACTTTGCCTAAAACGAATCAGGTGTTGCCTGCGGAAATGCCGGTAGCTGAGTATAATGCCAGATGATCACCTTTTTACCACACCTACTAGGCCACTATTGGAGTCTTTTGTTGCTAGTAAATTTAAGATTGTTCAAAAACTATCGATCTCTTTGTTTCACCTATAGAAGAATTTTAGTTCATACATTGATCAATTTGTAAACCCGAGAGTTTGCGACGACATGACTTGATTTGCTCGACTTCAGACTTTGACGAATTCTTCTCTTGATAAGAACACTAATGGCATGTTTTTTTCACTACCTGTTATTGCTTTGATTATTCGTTTTTCTATTCTAGAGCAGCTGCTTATCTTTATACGCGCACACCCTACATTAATGCTATTAACGTTTTTTTTGGTAACCACTTTTATTTACTATTCATGAACACTCCCAGAGCAAGATCATGACTCTTGAACTCTAGAATAAAGGGACTTTGACTGTTTTTCGGTCTAATAGTGAGATATACTGAATTTGCATAAATGTAGATCATAAAAACAGTTACGGTAGGTAAGATTTATGCTGAACTTTAATCAACGTCCTTTCATAGCTTTATCAACGAAATGTCTCCCTCTTCTTCCACTGATTTACTAAGGATTGAAAGTGCAATCCGTTTAGGGTTGTCAGCTATCGCTACTGTTGTTGTGTAGCTTTATCAACGAAATGTCTATCTCTTCTTCCACTAATTTGCTAAGGATTGAAGTACAATCCGTTTAGGGTTGTCAAACAGTCATCGCTACTGTTTTTATCAAATTTCGGCACATGTCCAAGAAATACAGATAATTTCTCTAGAATAGCTGATTTTTTCTTTCAGAAGATCGTCACGCATTACTTCGTGCATCCCATTACTTTCGATCAGAAAAAATTTGCTCAAATAATGGCACACTTTTTTCAGGACTATCTGCCACTGATTTCTCAGAAATCCTAACAATGATTAGGCAAGTGGATTTTGGATTTTTTTTTCAAAGTTTTCTATCTTATTCAGTTTCGTAATTTAGGAGCTCATATGCATTTATCAACCTCTTGAAGGCAACTGTGGGAGTGGGCGTTTTTGCCATGCCTATGGCTTTGAAACAGGCTGGATTTTGGGTTAGTCAGTCCAATATTATAGTAAAATATATGAGGAAAAAAACTTGGCGCGTTAGAATCACTCTACAAATCATCTAGTCTGAATGTAAAAAAATATCGTTTTAGACAGGCCTTATACTGTCTGTTGGCATTGGAATTATTAATGCTCATGGAATGATGAAAATCGTAAGCTGCTCGCAGTATTTGTGTAAAAGGTGAAAACCTACATGATAATAGATTTTATTACTATCATGCAAAAAAGGAAATTATGATCGTTTAGAAAGCAAATGTCAAACATCAGAGCCAACAGAAATGGGGCCACGATAAGACCAGTGTGCTTGGATGCTCAATATATAAAAGCGGTAAGGAATTAATTCTTAAGTTATAACATGAAAGCTAGGCTATAAATATTAGGTTACTGACGAAGAACAATCGCATACTAGTGAGGAAACTATTTCTAAGGAGGTAAGCAGCCATATTTGGTCAAAAATGAGAAGAAAGTGAAGATACTTGACTTTTTAGGGCGCTGATGAGGAGCGATCGCGAGTATACACAATTGAGACTGAAAGCGAGAAGGTTATGGTTGAAGGAACCGTTGAAAAGTTAGTACCCATTCTTTGGTACTGAATCGAATTTTTAAATACAAAAAAACGTGTTTTAGACGTTTTACCCTCGACTATGGTGGTATGGCAGCCGAAGCGTTTACAAGCACGCGATCACGAACGTTGCGAATGTTTGGAAAACCTTCAATGTAGGTTTATTATTCATGCTTTTTTGGAGAAAAACTTGCTATATCCTAATTTTGGAACCAAATTAAGCTTGACTAGGTCAATAAAATTACGATAAAGTGAATGACTTGGGTTTACAGTACATTCATTTATTTACTAGTACACCCTTACTCAGGCAAAGACGGGTGATACCCAAATATCACTATGTAGAGGGCGCGAAATATGAAATCTATTACTTCGTAAATACAGCTGACTCGTTCCATAACCGTAAGCGAGATATGAACCAAAGAAGTTCGTGCGCAAATGCGAACAGGAAGCGTGAAATAAGATAAAATACATTGATAAAAGGGTTTTGCATAATGGAAGCGAAACCATGGCTCAATAAATATGAGAAATTGACCCATAAGCATATCAACTTTATTGAGATTGTTAATTAAGGTAGTAAAACGTCTGTGACTTGGAGTCAAATCTGTCAACAATGAAGCTATACAAGTTGAGTTTCGCATATTCCATTCCGCTTGCAACTTGCATAAGAAGGATTTTTTTGGAAGAAAACATGAAAGCTATATGATTAAGCCATTTTGAAGCCAATTTATAAAAAAATTCTATTCTGAGCGTCAGAAATTCTAGCTGCATTTGATTTCATTCCATAACTAGCTGGCTTACCCGGCTCCGCCCGGCGCCACATACACTTTGGTAAAAAAAAGCCGAAGTTGTATTCCTCAAAAAGAGGAGTACAACTTCGGCTCAAATGGGCCCATCGATTTGGAGGTCGCCACCCAGAGCCCCCACTGTATATTTCATTCAAATTGTTGGTCTTTCTCACACATTAGCAACACATTATTTATAGCTGGCTTACCCGGCTCCGCCCGGCGCCACATACACTTCGGTAAAAAAACGAAGTTATATTCCTCAAGAAGAGAAAACAACCTTGGCTCTTTAATTGTGGTTGTTTTCAACAGAGGCAACCGATGGTTGTCCTCAACAGAGGCAACCGATGGTTGGGCCGATGGTTGTCCTCAACAGAGGCAACCGATGGTTGTACCGATGGTTGTCCTCAAGAGAGGCAACCGATGGTTGTACCGATGGTTGTCCTCAAGAGAGGCAACCGATGGTTGTACCGATGGTTGTCCTCAAGAGAGGCAACCGATGGTTGTACCGATGGTTGTCCTCAAGAGAGGCAACCGATGGTTGTACCGATGGTTGTCCTCAACAGAGGCAACCGATGGTTGTCCTCAACGGAGGCAACCGATGGTTGTACCGATGGGTGTCCTCAACAGAGGCAACCGATGGTTGTACCGATGGTTGTCCTCAAGAGAGGCAACCGATGGTTGTACCGATGGTTGTCCTCAACAGAGGCAACCGATGGTTGTCCTCAACGGAGGCAACCGATGGTTGTACCGATGGTTGTCCTCGAGAGAGGCAACCGATGGTTGTACCGATGGTTGTCCTCAAGAGAGGCAACCGATGGTTGTACCGATGGTTGTCCTCAAGAGAGGCAACCGATGGTTGTACCGATGGTTGTCCTCAAGAGAGGCAACCGATGGTTGTACCGATGGTTGTCCTCAACAGAGGCAACCGATGGTTGTCCTCAACGGAGGCAACCGATGGTTGTCCTCAACGGAGGCAACCGATGGTTGTACCGATGGATGTCCTCAACAGAGGCAACCGATGGTTGTACCGATGGTTGTCCTCAAGAGAGGCAACCGATGGTTGTCCTCAAGAGAGGCAACCGATGGTTGTACCGATGGTTGTCCTCAACAGAGGCAACCGATGGTTGTCCTCAAGAGAGGCAACCGATGGTTGTACCGATGGTTGTCCTCAACAGAGGCAACCGATGGTTGTCCTCAACGGAGGCAACCGATGGTTGTACCGATGGTTGTCCTCGAGAGAGGCAACCGATGGTTGTACCGATGGTTGTCCTCAAGAGAGGCAACCGATGGTTGTACCGATGGTTGTCCTCAAGAGAGGCAACCGATGGTTGTACCGATGGTTGTCCTCAACAGAGGCAACCGATGGTTGTCCTCAACAGAGGCAACCGATGGTTGTACCGATGGGTGTCCTCAACAGAGGCAACCGATGGTTGTACCGATGGTTGTCCTCAAGAGAGGCAACCGATGGTTGTACCGATGGTTGTCCTCAAGAGAGGCAACCGATGGTTGTACCGATGGTTGTCCTCAAGAGAGGCAACCGATGGTTGTACCGATGGTTGTCCTCAACAGAGGCAACCGATGGTTGTCCTCAACGGAGGCAACCGATGGTTGTACCGATGGGTGTCCTCAACAGAGGCAACCGATGGTTGTACCGATGGTTGTCCTCAAGAGAGGCAACCGATGGTTGTACCGATGGTTGTCCTCAACAGAGGCAACCGATGGTTGTCCTCAACGGAGGCAACCGATGGTTGTACCGATGGTTGTCCTCGAGAGAGGCAACCGATGGTTGTACCGATGGTTGTCCTCAAGAGAGGCAACCGATGGTTGTACCGATGGTTGTCCTCAAGAGAGGCAACCGATGGTTGTACCGATGGTTGTCCTCAAGAGAGGCAACCGATGGTTGTACCGATGGTTGTCCTCAACAGAGGCAACCGATGGTTGTCCTCAACGGAGGCAACCGATGGTTGTACCGATGGTTGTTCAACGGAGGCAACCGATGGTTGTACCGATGGTTGTCCTCAACAGAGGCAACCGATGGTTGTACCGATGGTTGTCCTCCAAGTGAGGCAACCGATGGCTGTCCTCGATAGACATCCGATGGTTGTCCTCCGAGTGAGGCAACCGATGGTTGTCCTCCAAGTGAGGCAACCGATGGTTGTACCGATGGGTGTCCTCAAGAGAGGCAACCGATGGTTGTACCGATGGTTGTTCAACGGAGGCAACCGATGGTTGTACCGATGGTTGTCCTCCAAGTGAGGCAACCGATGGCTGTCCTCGATAGACATCCGATGGTTGTCCTCCGAGTGAGGCAACCGATGGTTGTCCTCCAAGTGAGGCAACCGATGGTTGTACCGATGGGTGTCCTCAACAGAGGCAACCGATGGTTGTACCGATGGTTGTCCTCAAGAGAGGCAACCGATGGTTGTACCGATGGTTGTTCAACGGAGGCAACCGATGGTTGTACCGATGGTTGTCCTCAACAGAGGCAACCGATGGTTGTACCGATGGTTGTCCTCCAAGTGAGGCAACCGATGGCTGTCCTCGATAGACATCCGATGGTTGTCCTCCGAGTGAGGCAACCGATGGTTGTCCTCCAAGTGAGGCAACCGATGGCTGTCCTCGATAGACATCCGATGGTTGTCCTCCGAGTGAGGCAACCGATGGTTGTCCTCCAAGTGAGGCAACCGATGGCTGTCTTCGATAGAGACAACCGATGGTTGTCGTCGATAGAGACAACCCATGGCTGTTCTCAACAGAGGCAACCGATGGCTGTTCTCAACAGAGGCAACCGATGATTGTCCTCGAACAGAGGCAACCGATGGTTGTCCTCAACAGAGGCAACCGATGGTTGGTACGATGGTTGTCCTCAACGGAAGCAGCCGATGCCGATAGTCGTCCTTCCGTTTTATTCCTCAAGAAGAGGATGTACCGTTTCGTTCCTACCCTCAGACGGTTTGGCTAAACAGGTCCTAGGCTTTCCCCGGAACTCATCAGTAAGGAGGGAAGCTCGGCTGGATCTGTCCAGCTTCTTGTTTGTCCCACCCACCTGCCCTGACCGCCGCTGGCCTCCGTTTTTTTGGGTTTTCGTTTTGCCATTTTTTTGGATTTTGTATTTTCCAATTTTTTTGGATTTTCCAATAGAATGGCATGCAACAAATAAATACTGTACTATACTACAGCATGCAATTATGTTAGCGCCCTGGGATACACTACGTTAGCCGTGCTCCCTTCGGGCGCATATATGTACAGGTTCGCCGGACTCCCGACCCTCGAACACGCCACGTACAGTTGACCATGCGAGAAACAGGGAGTTTCCAGGTCTACTCCTACTGTTCGTAGAGACTGTCCTTGCGCTTTGTTGATCGTCATAGCAAGTGCAGGCCTGACCGGAAACTGCACTCGCCTGAACTCAAAGGGCATATCGGAGGGGACGAAAGGGATTCGTGGAACATGAACGACTTCGCCTTTGAACTTCCCCGCCAATATGGTCGCTACTATGACGTTTGGCATGAGATCCCTGATGCAAAGCCTTGTACCATTGCACATCCTCGGTGGGTTGATGTTACGAAGGAGCATGATTGGCAAACCAACCTTCAGATCAAGTCTGTGAGGTGGTATCCCATTGGGCTGGAGTGAATTCAAGAACTCAGTGGGGAAGTAAACAGCCTGCTCACGCTGAACCATGGTATCAAAGGATGTGTACGTTGATACCGGTCCAGGTAGGCTGTTTAAAATCTGAGCATTGATAGAATCCACTTGCTCATTTTTGGGTGCCAGAATTGCTCGCTCGCAAATCCAGTCCCCATTGCTGAAGTTGGTGGCAATGTTTGGGAAGACCTTTTCGATCAGTTCTCCCACCGATTGAACCATATTGCAGAAGTCTGGAGGAAAGGTTATCCATCCAGAACTTGGTTCGACCGGAATTCTGCCTTCGCCAAGAAGCAACAGCTGTTGCGCAAAGTTTCGGGCAGTCTCATCGCCAAGGAGGTGGACTCGCATGTTCGTCGTGAGATTCAGCGATCGAACATGTCTCCAGAGAGGAGAAGCTTTGAGGCAAGCGTTCAGCTCATCTGCTGGAGTCGATCGCGGAACCACTTGCAGAGTTTGACGAAAGTCGCCTGCCAGTAACACGACGACCCCACCCATTAGCGTGTTGCTTTCTCGTATGTCCCGTAGTGTGTTGTCAAGAGCTTCTAGGCACTTCTTATGCGCCATGGTGCATTCGTCCCAAACTATGAGTTTGGCTTCCTGCAGCACCTTGGCTTTCCCTGTGCCCTTGCTTATCCCACACACTGGGTGCTCTACATGAGCAATATCCAGAGGAAGCTTGAAGGCTGAATGGGCAGTTCGGCCTCCCTCTAGCAGTGTTG